ATTTCTACCCTAACCTCCCAGGTGCGCGCTCCTGTCGGCAACATTGCTCTCCTGTACTGCGCGCGTGCTTGTGTGCAAACTCTGTAAATTGTTTTTCTTCTCCCCAAGACAACTATTTCTAGCGATACCGACCCTTCTCTCGATATAGCCGGGAGGTCGTAGTGTTACGCCTGTAACCCAATCCCAAGGAGAAGGTGGATGTTGCGAATCAGCAACTCACTTTGATATAAGTTCCCAACCTTCTTACTTCAAGGTGGAACCTATCAATAAAAAATGAATTAGTTAACATGGCAATTCTTGTGTCAGCACTTGTTAATCGTAGACGCTTCGGAGGTTGTTTCGGGTATAAATGCTTAGTTCCTTGAGGTGTTGCTGACGTCTACTTTTGCTTGAGTTGGATGAGCATGGAGAGTGTGGCTCAATTACTCTCCTGTGGGCAAAAATTTGCCTCAGAAGTGCTGTTGCTTCGGTTTTGGCTTGTGAAGGGTGTTCTTCCGACTACTCCTTTTCATGCTTATATAAACGACGGAGGTAGATGTTTCCTCCCTTGGAGAAGCTACGAAGTACTTTCATGACCTTGTTTTGTTGTCATCAATTTGGAACTTGAGATTACGTTGATTTGGATTGCAGTAGTATTAGTGTGCTGAACAAATATTGTCTCATTACGCATAAGCTGGTCTGTTGGGGTCTATCAGAGTTGGTCGCTTGGGATAGATTCTGTCGCTGTGATGCAGTTACTCGATAATATTCACGTTTCATCTAGAAGGATGCCGTGAGCTCTAAGTCGTAGGTCTCTGATGTGGTACGCTCTGCGTGGATACATTTATGGCTGAGCAGAATTTAATCCAACTTGAACTCGGAGTTAACGCTTCGCATTGCCCGTTTGCCAATTCGACTAGGGGATGATTGTGTAGACCATTCGTTCATTCAATCAGCGCTGCGCAGTTTGTCAAGCAGATTGGTGTTCAAAACAGCAAATTGACTAGTAGATTCTATCATTCATTTGGATTGTCATCCTTGAGTCATCATACCTGGCGAGCTGTCCAGATCGATTTTGGGATTATTTTATCCACTTTCTAAAGTTGGAGGAATTTACGCTGATGAACCCCTGAATATTTTGCCAGCAATCTATTATGATTGGCAGATTGGCGTTGGGACGTGTCCATGTTACGCATGAGCGCTAGAAAACCCCTAAGCATTAGGCTTTTCAGTTGATCTACGATTTACTTGTAGAGTGAAGATGACGAGATTGGACGACTTTTTTGCGCCAAGTTCCATCTTTCCAAGCAATGCTTATCATTTGCTATGCATATTGCATGTTTTCACTGCCTTGATTGGATGATTGAACTTTTAATGAACCCTGCCATTCCGCACGCACTACTTAAACGCTCTCATGCTTGGGTTGACTGTTGTCGCGTCAAGGGCCTGATATGTACTCTTTTGGCAAATTTGGAAGCTAAAGTTTTTTCGTGTTTCAATAATGCGAGCTGTGAATGTACAGAAGGCTTAACGCTTGGCAGAATTTCATAGTCAAAATATGTCACTATCGAACCCTTACCTGCTAGAACACATCGTATTTATTAGTCAATTTGTATGCACTCCTCGTACTGTCAACGCCATTGACTTCAATACAATGGTTCAATGGGATGATGATTGGCGCTCCCTCATGATAGGCTCGGTGGTCTCTCAAACGTCAGTCAAAATATTTTACTTTGATGTCTCAACTGGTTTGTCTCAACATTACTCAATTAGCTAGCATTATTACTCAAGTAAAAACGGTGAAAGAGTCCCTAGAAGTAGAATTTTTTTTTGCAAGCGAACCAACGAAACGAATTCGTGCATCCAAGTGTACTGCTGCAGCACGAATTAATTTTATCTGATACGAGAGTAACATCAGGCCATTTCACTCACACGTATAACCATGGTCAAAACAAAAGTGTTTTGTCTATTTTTAACGTGAATTGCTTTTGTGTGTATGGGTACGCATCCGTGTGAACGGACATGATGTACGACTTCTTGAAGGTCACTGAATTACGAATGTGTAGTGCGGGTGAAAAACCGACCAATCCACCTCCAATATAAAATGCAGTTATTAAAAGTCCTTTTGTGATTCTTTCATTTTCATTGCCAAGGTGCGTTATTGGTAAAATGAAAGTGATATCACTGAGACTGTCTGTTTTTTAGGCAGAAAAAGAAGACCATGCAGTCAGCAGTTTGAAGGGCATGTTGGGCGCTTTATCATTGCTGCTAAATCTGTCAAGCCCATTCTACTTGTGTAGAACTCTTTGTGCCGAAACAACTTATGGCACCATTGAAATGTCATTTTCAGTTTTGTCTCCTAACTCGGTTGCCCGCGCGTTAAGAGCGAAGCCGAAAAAAGGGTGCGGCTAGACGCCTGCCGTACATTTCAAGTAATGTTTATGGAGGTGTGAATCATGGCTTGAAGTGGTAAAATTACCTGTGAAGTTATGGCAGCATTTTAAAAAATGCTATTTTCAAAATTGCCTTGAGAGGTGTTATTGAGGATACAGGGCTGAAATCAAGTTTGCCATCTATGTGGAGAGGTCGATTGAGAAACGTCTTCGATCTGTTCGATGATAGCTTGACCTGCATCTGCAAACATGGCGTAGTAGCGTTTGTTTTTACCCACGATAAATATAAGTTCCAAAGACTTATCGGTTAATACTTTTTAGAACTTTTATTTACACCCGA